TGAACTGGAGCTTTGAATCCAAGTCTTTCTGAATCTGGGACATCGCTCGCTGCAACACAGACGATGGTTCATCAACAGCTGATCAGTGAAAATGGCTCAATACAAAGTGAAAAGTGAATGTGTGCATAACGTCAAGGTTTAATCCAGCCTCCAGGGAGGTGATATGAGAAAAACATATTGATCACAGAAAATAGTCCCTACCTTGGTCTTTTCAGACTTCTCTGGATTCCCACATCTGAACTGTTTCACATTTGCCTCATTTAGCAGTTCCTGGGGAAAACAGACAGGATGTCATTACAAATGCATGTAATTAGGCACATATAAGTGGTGATTATCAGACAACACTTTAAATAGTTAATAACTGTGACAGGTTGTGTTTATTGTTTCATTATTTTGGGGGTGTTAGCTGACATTGGGCCAGAGGCGAGGTACATCTTGGACAGGTCGAGAGCATATCACAGGACTGACATATAGACACAAACAACCATTCATGCTCACATTTGCACCTATGTTCAATTTGGAGTCTCCAATATACTGACAATATACACCCTTCACATTTAATTGAAATTGGAAACAACAGAAGCAACATTAGTGCATTTATGTCAAACCAAGATATTTGTATACTTAGAAATTGTTGAAACACCATAAACCCCACTTACAATGGTATAGAATATATTTATTAATGTTCTCTAATGTTTCTCTGTGTTTTATCTAACTGTTGGATATATTAGCTGTTGATTTACTCCTAACCCCCTCTGTTTAAATGTCCTGTATTATAATATATTTGTTAAACTGACCATCTTTAGCCTTTTACACATTAGAATCATTTTTAAAGATAATAGTAAAATCAGACACTGTACCTTAGTCTTCTGATGGTTCTCCTGTTTTATCTCCTTTATGATCTGCATCTCCTTTGGAGCCTTGTATGTGTTGTTTGGTACCTTCAAGACAAAAGCCTCACAAGTTCAGTGAATCAGCCACTACAGAATCTACAGCATAAAGGCCAGGTSTATGTTCTCATAAGGGTTACCTACAAGCTAAAACAGCAGCCAGTACATATGTAAACCAACTGATCAGCAATATTGAAAGTAAATACAGTGTACAACTGTGAATGAGGCTGACCGGTTTGTATTTTTCCTGCTGTGGGATGAGCTTTGGGATCGGCAGAGGTCGAGGTTTGGGTTTGGTGAGACAGAACTCCCGGGGCTTYGTGATTTTGATTGGAGCTTTCTTGACCTGACTCCCACAGGATATTTTCAAAGCAAGCTGGTCCATTAGAATATCAATATCGGGGCGCCATCTAAAGGACAAACAGACATATGCTGCTATGTCTTGTTTTTATAATATAACAGYMTGAGAAGGATTTTCCAGGACCATTTTACCTCAGCAGGGGACCGATCCACTGTTCCTCCACACAGGCTGCATCGTAGATATTATTCCACTCTTCCTGTATCCATGTGGTGAGGTGCGTGAAGAAGAAGTTGAGGAACTATAACAAAACACACAACAGAGCTTTTATTGCTGTGTCTTTCCATTACAAGGACAGTGATGTGTTCAGGAACTTACTGTGTGCATCTTCTTGATGTCCAGAGATTTGACAATGTTGCTAAAACACTGAAGCCCAATGTCATCGAGGACGAATGTGGTGAGGTAACAGATAACTAAGGARCAACAAAATGTTATAAATATGTTCTTTTATCAAAAATTCATGTCTGTTTATTTTCTTTGACTTACTGAGAAACTGGCTCCGGTCACCTCTGGATAACCAWCTCCCATTCTGGCCGTAGAAGACGTTGACAACTGCGTCCAGTAACTTTTTGTACTCAGTGCATCCAGAGACAACATCAAGTATGAACTTCTTATGCTGAGCATCCATGTTCTGCAAAAAAAATGTTTTCATATAGGAATAATTAGGTTCTTGGAAAATGGATTYCTAAGAAAATTTGCAGTAGCTGATGACATAGTTTTATTTCTGTCACAGTGTGAGGAATCTGTCCCACCACTGCTAGACCTTATTAAAAAGTTTGGGAAGCTATCGGGGTGTACTATAAGTTGGTAGAAGAGTGAATTTATGCCTCTGAGTCAGGATCTAGAGCCTGGGTTTCTCTGCAATCTTCTGTTTGAAATTACTGACCATGTAAAGTGCCTGGGGACCTGGAGCACCTGTTCCTTAGCAATGAGACCTTCTTTATAAACTGGACTATAGAGTTATGATAAACTTAGGAGTGATAATGAATACTGGCAAACACTTTCCCTGTCAATGATTGGCCATACTAATGCTGTGAAATGGTGACCTGTCAAGCACCCAAAAATATCTTTGTAAATCTAAAGACAGCCTTAGCCTGAGCCCATATTTATTGACAGGATGCATATCCTGAAGAGCTTAAAGACACCCCATCATGGCTGTCTATAGAGCAGTGGTAGTTCCCTTCCAGCGCTACTCCAAAAAACCTCTTAGGTCATTTAAAGGGATTGGTTTTATAGTCAAAATATAAAACTGACACTAAAGGTATGGCATCAAATAAAGGAAGTGTTCAATTTACCAAACACTTCTACTTTATCCCCCATTTGTTATAATCATGCATTTCTCCCTTCCCAAAGATGCTGTTGTTTAAATCTGGAGGAAAGTTCCCGCTTCCATCAGTGACTTGTATACTAATAATGGATTATCCTCATTTGCTCCGCTTAAAGTCAAATCTATACCGCAGTCATCAGATTTTTTTCGGGTATCTGCAAATCAGGAACTATGTCAGAGGAAATATTTCAAACTTTGAAACTTATAATTCTCCTGATGAGCTTCAGTCCTTACTGACAACTGAACCTGTTACCAAAAAACTGGTCTCTAAGTTTGTAAATATGTTGCGCGACTGCTCGACCTATGCAGCATCTGAGGACGTCCTGGGAGAGTGACATGGGAGTAGAAATCTCAAAGGGTTAATGGGCTAAATGTCTTCTTAGCATACACTCTTGCTCAATTGACTCCAACCATCAGCTAATTCAATATAAGGTCCTACATAGACTATCATTCACCTGTTAAATTACACTCAGTTTAACCATCCTCATCTCCACTCTGTATCAAATACAAACAATCTAAAGGAACCCTGGCTCACATGTTTTGTTTCTGCAGCAAACTACACTGGTCAGAAGTCTTTCATTGCTTCTAACATGTCTATGGGAACAATCTTCCTCCCATTCCAGAAAAAGCCAATAAAGGCTGGTCTCAATAGTAAGAAACTTTAAATCACGGGCAAAATGTATTCTTGTTTGATAACCGCCTCAATGTTCTGTCTTTTTTTCCTGAAGCTATGAATAAAATAAACAAGAATAACCCACCCCTCAAAAAAGCTATAAAAAATGCAGTAGAAAGGGGAAACAATTCAAATTCAAATTGGTGTTACATGAAAATATAAAACTGACACAGATCTGACTTTACCTACCTGCAGATCTTTAGCAGCATCTTTTATGAAGTCATCCAAACTCTGTTTGCCAGCGCTGAATTTATCCAGCAATGCAATAGCCTCCTTGACAAGAGATCCATAGATGGATGCCATTTTACAACAACCTGCAGAAAACAGATGGAGAGTGATAACTGTGGTGAGATGATCTGCACTTGCAGAGAGAAAAAAAAGTTATCACCAATAGAAAAGTGGAAAAATATATATTTGTTCTAAAATATTCTTGATTCATGAAGAGTTTTCTGAGGGAGAAGAGCAGCTTTCAGCTCGAACCAATACCATGCTCAGCGGTTTTGGCCTCGCTGCTCTTGATTTGGTTGAGTCTTTGCAGATCTTGCTGTTTTTCCTCAGACTTCTTCTGCAGAGCCAAAACTCTTTTGTGTTGAGCAGCTTTCTGCTCAATATCCAGGCTGGCCTCCCTCCCCTTCTCTTTCCTGCAACATGCCAAAGAACATAACATGAGTGTCTATAGGCATCATAGCTGTCTACATAGCTCTCCCCACTCGCGTTCATCATGGTGATGAAAGTGATTATCAGAGCTTCAAAATGGGTGGTAGGTGGTGAGTGACAAAAGTTGGGGGTCCGATTAACACCAATCAGGGCCTACATGGATGACATGATGACACCAGTAAGTTGCTAGGGAAACTTGAAGAAATAATCACATGGGCCAGAATGAGAACTTGCCGTCCAAAGCAAATGCAGGTCAAAGGACAAATTTGTCCAAGAAGGGGACAGGGAGGGCCTCCTCAACTCACTGGCTTATAGTTCCATCACTGAAGATGTGTGTGAAGGTGCTCACTAACATCTGCTAGGATCAACTGGTGGTAGGCATTATTCAGTGCGATTGAACAGGAGAGGGATATTCTTCATCTTTTCTTATGTTCTAAAATGGTACAGTGTTTAGTTCAAAAGGGCATAGAGGTAATGACAACTGATCTACTGAGCGTTGATTACACTGTTGATTACAACGTCTAAACACTTGATGACGCTAAGGCGCACAACTGAAGTTATGTCCCTGGCGACTGTTAACACCTACTAACTGGTTATTTGTAACTTAAATGGTGCAGAAGACCATCAAATGTACAAGGATATTCACCATCTCCTATATTCAAAAGAATTGTTGTTGTGTTTTGCTTTTTGTTGTTGTGTTTTGGGATTTGTCTTTGTGATTCTCTATTTGCTGTTGTCATTTGCCCAGGGCCAATGTGGGATACTGATCAGTGAGAAGTGGGTCAAGGTGTGGCTTGTAAACACAGTGCTGTACCTTTGCAGCTCCTCCTTCTCCTCACAGGTATGAAGCGCCTTCTCCCTCAGCTTGACTGTATTGTTGGGCTTGACGGGACAGTTTATGTTCTGGCAACATCAGCAAAATGAACAAATTAAATTAGAATTTAATATACACGATATTTACATACATATGAAATGAAAGATTGATCATTTGAATCAGACGAAATAATCAGATCTCACCTTATTACTGGATGGAGGTTTAGTGGGATAAATTGAATTGGACTTTGAATCCAAGCCTTTCTGAATCTGGGACATCGCTCGCTGCAACACAGATGATGGTTCATCAACAGCTGATCAGTGAAAATGACTCAATACAAAGTGAAAAGTGATTGTGTGCATAACGTCAAGGTTTAATCCAGCCTCCAGGGAGGTGATATGAGAATAACATATCAATCACAGAAAATAGTCCCTACCCTCAATTGTTCAGACTTTTTCTCCCAAAGCTGTTTAATTTTTTCCTCATTCCGAGGTTCCTGTGGAAAACAGATAGGATGTCATTACAAATGCATGTAATTAGGCACATATAAGTAGTGATTATAATAACTTGATAGAATATTTTAAATAAATTGAGGTTGTTTTTATTGTATAAGGGTTGTGGGGGTGTCAGCTGACATTGGGGTGAGAAGCCAATGGGGACACCTTGGACAGGTTGCCAGCATACAACAGGACTGACATATAGACACAAACAACAATTCATGCTCACATTCACACCTATGTTCAACTTAGAGTCTCCAATTTTACAAAAGGATTTACTGAAAATATATACCCTTCATAGAATAACACTTTTTATTATTGTTAGTTTCAAATTGTTTTGTCGGATGTACAAGCTGTTGATTTACACCTACCCCCTCTGTTTAAATGTCCTAT